ACCTCATTCCTCTCAACACGTCTTGCTGCTTTCTAGGGAAACAGACCCTTACCCCTGTCGGTTAGACTGAGGCAGTGCGTATGTCACTAAGTGGTACGGTCTCTCCTTTTTTCCCCTCCTCAGCAGCTGGTTTGATGAGATTGTTTTCCTTTAGTCCGAGCTCTCTTCTGTAGTTATCATAGAGACCTGCCTATTTATTCTTTGGCGCCATCTGGAGTACTACTTGTTACATTGCACGCCCACCGATTCTCAGGATTCCCTGTTTGCCTCCAGAACCTTATTTAAAAGCAGAAGACTACAAGGTAAACTTCATTCTGAAAACCTATAGATCTCAGTGCTTTGAAAACCTAGTTACATTTTTATTTAGTTTTTGTTTCCAGGTTACTAAGAGTGGATTGGGCAATGGAGAGCTACTTAGTTATTAGACATGGCTATTTCTTGTGTTTTACTTCTATTCATGGGAAATTGTGTGGACAATATGAACATCTTAAGACACTGCTCTTCAGCTTCTTGCAGTTAAGGGCTGGCCAGCTCCAGAGTCCCCTGCTCACAAATAATTTTCTAGAAGAATGGATGTGGGTCAGCCTGGGCCATGATCTTTATTAAGTGAGCCTGTTTGACCGGTGAGCTTGTATTGGATCCCTTAGTGGGAAAGAAACGGAAGGAAAGCTTGCAGACCCTGACCTAGACAAGTGAAATGCTTTCCAGGGGCTTCTAGTTACTGAAAGTTGAAATAGATTTCTCAGCCTTGACCCATGTTTTCTGTGGCGCTGTGGTTCATTGTCTTCAGATTCTTCCAGGGTGTAGTAGACGCATCCTGGGAAAGCTGTTTTGACTGTGTCTTTTATCTCTAGATTCCTTCGCTTCAGAAACCAACCTGGATTTCAGAAGTGGTCTGACTGCAGTGAGCCAACATGACATAGACCAGGTAAGGTTCTAGTCTCATACCCTTGTTCTTTTCTGGAAGGACAACGGAAGAGCCTAGTATGTTAATAAGTTTATGATTTTCAGGGCTATATACAAAGACCTGATTTTAATTCGTGCCTGGCCACCCAACAGCTCTGGGACTTTGAACAACCTGATTTTGAGCCTCCATTTCCTCAGTGAAGAAACGGAAATGATAATTCAGCCTCAAACAGTTTTGTCAGGATTAAATGAGGTTTCATATGTGGGGCTCCTAGGGGAGTAGTGCCTGGAAGGTGTAACATCAAGTTCAGTAAATTACTGAGCATGTGATCTGCAAACTGCCAGTTTCTTTAGATTAACTTTGTCGACTTTAGGCACAAAGTGTCACTCAGCACTTAATTTTCCAGAAAATAATTTAAATGGAGAGATGGGGAGTAGCCATTACAAATTCCATTTAGGAGACCATAGTATTATACAGTAGTGTGTACTTAGTAACCTCTTGGCCAGTAATGTTGGAATGAATGAAGAGCATTCCAAAAACAATTAAAATGAAAACTTAATATGAAACTAATAGGAAAGTCTTGGGAACAGAGTAGTTAGCAGGGTACATGAATTATAGCTGGATCTGTTCCTAGGCATCTGAATGTCCTTAGCCATGATTTTTTTTTTAACTTTTTTTTTTAATGTTTATTTATTTTTGAGAGAAAGAGAGAGCGTGAGCTGGGGAGGGACAGAGACAGAGGGAGACACAGAATCTGAAGCAGTCTCCAGGCTCTGAGCTGTCAGCCCAGAGCCCGACGCGGGGCTCGAACTCACAGACTGTGAGATCATGACCTGCTGAAGTTGGACACTTAACCGACTGAGCCACCCAGGCGCCCCCCTAGCCGTGACTGGATAAAGCCTCTGTACTCTTCCCTAATCCCTCTTGGCCACTACCTTTCTTAAAGCTGAAGGTTAGGCTTTATCCAGGAAAGAGCATCCTCCAGACCATGCTTAACCAGACATCATAAAGAGCATGCTCTCATCCCAGCCCTGACTACATCTGCCCCAGAGTGACTTCATAATAGCAATCCATGTTTTGGCTAGACTTGTTTAGGTAAGCTTTAATGTTCAGTTAGGTCATGGGCACAATTAGGCAAAGTATAGATCTACCAGAAGATGTTTGATAAATATGTGTTGAATTAATCACTATTTCTGTTTCATTAGACTGTGCTGATATAAAGTGAGAAGAAATGCAGGATTAATAAATAACCTTCTCACTCTGTTTTGATTTTACTGCAAAACTGAAGGCAGGTAGATTTTATCTAATTTTGCACTTAATATTAACATTTCACTATTATGCCAAAAAGATCCATTCGAAATCAAATGTGCATTCTAAAATACATGAATTCTAAAGTGTATACCAGGTTCTTGTCTTCTGTTTATATTGTTTGAAAGTGAAAGCATGGAAATGGTTTTTTCTTTTTTTTTTAATTGCAAAACCAAGTAAAAAGTAAAAGCTTCTTTCTAGTTTATCCTGTTTCTTTCCCCAGAGGCATCCACTCCTAACGACTTGTGTCACCAGTCAGGAAATATTTTACTGCAGTATGTCCATATGTCAACAACAGCATCATTTGTTGTTGTTATTTAAAATTTTAAACATTTATACAAGACAGGAAAGAGGGGAAAACAATATCATACCAATAAATTGTAGCATAGAAGGAATGTTTAGTTAATTTGCTACATGAGAAAGGACCACATTACAAAATTTCAAAGATAGTTTAAATTGGAAGACATGAAACAAAAAATATTTGAGACTATAGTTTTAATAACAAAATATCATCTGTGTTAACTCTAGCTTCAGGCTGACGCCATCAACGCTTTTGGAGAATCACTACAAAAGAAACTTCTGGACATTGAAGGATTATACTCGAAAGTTCGATCTCGCTATAGTTTCATACAAGCTCTTGTCAGACGTATCCGAGGCCTGCTGAGGATATCAAGGAACTAAGAGCCCGTGCTTATACTCTTCTAGGGAAGAGAAGAATTGGGGAAAACTGTCCCCTTTTTTATGGACTAGTTTGTTTCTAAATTATGACCAAAAAATATTTTGCTATTTCTTTCTTTATATATGGACATCTTTTCTGTAAATTTCTTTGCCTGGTTCCAACCTCACTAGTAAAAAATAAATACTTTTTAAAAAAAGACACAAAACATATGGCTGGTCGTTTTTGAAATTTTACCTAGAAAATGATCAACGTTATTGGGAATCCACTTTCCAGAGTGGTAGTTTTCCCCTAGGGGTATAATTCTGAATGTTCTCTTAAAGGCATAGTCTGGAAATTGCAGTTTTTTATCTCTTTGTTATCTGCATTGCATTTCTGTGATAATCAAGGTCACTCCATGGGGTACAGTGGACCACAAACTATAGTTATGCTGTTTGATAGAATAGTGTACTCACTACTGTGAAGATGTTATAGAAATGTCCCAAGAAAGGAAGTTATCTCTTTGCTAAAATTATTTTTTTTTTCCTTCATGTTAGTGGCAGTATAATAATTTGGATTTGTCCAAATTATTTGATTGTGAAATTTCTCAAACTAATCACCTACTGATAATTTCTCATATAATTAATGGGATGCCTACGATTAGGGCAAAAGAATTTAGACCATCATCACTCTACCTCTTGCCCAATTGTGCTTATGTTCAAGTGACTACATCATCTCAAAGTCCATTTTTCCCTTTCTAGCCATAAATTAGTTCAGCCTAAAATAAAGGAGAGAAAGGGAAAAGTGTCTTGACTCATGAGTAGCAGAAAATTAATACTTAGTTCTATAGTGTTTCTTTTTTAAAAATATAAATTTTTTTTAATAATTTCTGTGGCTTTTTAGCATATCAAAATTTTTTAAATGTTTACTTATGTTTTTCTCCTTAACTATTTGAAAGTATATTGTAGACATAGTGACACTTTATCCGTAATATTTCAGCAACTAATAACAAGGATATTTCCTTCCACATCATAATACCATTATCGCACTTAAGACATTTGCTAAAAAAATACAATAAAATTTTCAAATATTAAGGCAATATTCAAATTTCAATTGCCCCCAAAATGTACTCCTAGAACTTTAATTTTTTTTACCCAGAATTAAATCAAGAATCACACATTACATTTAGTTACCTCTTTAGTTTCCTTGATTCTGAAATGTTTCCCCTCCTTTTTGGGGGGAGATGGTGATTAATGTGATACTTGTTAGCTGTTTTGAAAAGGGTCCCAAAGTTACTTTTGTTTTTGTTTTTGTTTTTAAATTAAGTTTAAGTTAAACATTTTTGGCAAGAATACTACAATTCTGTGGGTGATACTATGCCTTCATATATCAGGAGTTTCCTATCAGTTTGTCCCATTATTTTAAGTTTGCGCACTTAATTAAGGTAGTGTTTGACACACCGGCATTGTAAAGGTTATCTTCCCTTGTAATGAATAATCTGTGGGTTGATACTTTGAGACTGAATTTATGTTTCCAAAAACTATCAGCCATTGCTTTTTAAAAAATGCTTATTTTTAACGTTTATTTATTTTTGAGAGACAGGGCACGAGTTGGGGAGGGGCAGAGAGAGAGGGAGACACAGAATCCAAAGCAGGCTCCAGGCTCTGAGCTGTCAGCACAGAACCTGACACGGGGCTCGAACTCACAAACTGCAGATCATGATTGGAGCCAAAGTCAGACGCTTAACCGACTGAGCCACCCAGGTGCCCTTAAAGATGCTTATTTTTGAGAGAGAGAGAGCAGGGGAGGGGCAGAGAGAGACAGGGACAGAGGATCCAAAGCAGGTTCTGTGCTGACAGCAGAGTGCCCCATGAGGGGCTTGAACTCACAAACTGTGAGATCATGACCTAAGCCGAAGTTGGACACTTAAGCCAACTGAGCCACCCAGGTGCCCCTCTGCCACTGCTTTTATCATTAACTCAGGTTTAAAAAATTGTGTATGGTTTTGATCATACAAATAATATCAATATTATAAACATGCAGACACCCACTCTTTCCTCATGTTACATACTTAATCAAATCTTAAAATTAACCCTATTTGCTCAAGAATTTATTTTTATTGTTTTTATTAAAGATTTTTTAATGTTGATTTTTGAGAAAGAAAGTATGAGCAGGGAAGGGGCAGAAAGAGAGGGAGACACAGAATCTGAAGCAGGCTCCAGGCTCTGAGCGGTCAGCACAGAGCCCAACATGGGGCTTGAACTCACGGACTGCGAGATCATGACCTGAGCTGAAGTCAGATGCTTAAATGACTGAGCCACCCAGGCATGACAAGAATGTTTTTTTTTTTTCTTTTAAAGAAATATACTATGGTAGATACAGTTGGGGCTCCTGTGAACTTCCTGTTCCCAATTCCCCTACTTCCCTTCCAGAGATAACCATTGTCATGAAGTTATTGTTGAATTTGCCATTCGTGTTTTATGCTTCTACTACATATGTGTGTATCCATAGACATTAACAAGTATTGTTTTACAGGGTTGTGTTTTTTTTTAATTCTTATTTTAATTCCTGTTAACAGAATGTTGTAGTTTCAGGTGTACAACATAGTGATTCAGGAATTCATACATCACCCGATGCTCATCACAAGTGCAGTCCTTAATCCCCATCACTTATCTAACCCATCCCTTGTTTTATAGGTTGTTAATCTTGATATGTGGGTTGTCCTACTAATGGATCAATTTGTAGTTTGCTTTTTTTTGGTTCAGCATTGTGTTGTTAATAATTGCTCATACTCATTTATTATAAATCTTGAATGGTAGTTATCGATTTTACAGATACCCAAATTTATGCAGTCTGTTGTTGGTGGACTGGCATACATTTAAATTCCCGGTATTATTTGTGTTTGTATTTGCTATTACAAGCTGTGCTGCAATGATTATCATACATGTCTCCTTGGATGAGACATGCGCTATGTAAGAAGGCCTCTCTGGATCACATAGTTCTAAATGGTTCTAACTCTAAAGTTCTAACTCTAAATGGTTAAGAGTTCTAAATTTCACTAGACGTTGCTGTATTTTTCTTAGTGGTTGCTCCAATTTACTCCTACCCATGGGGTGAGAGTTCCTGTTTTTTCATACCATTAAGCACAGTTCCAATTGTCATACTTTTTTTTCTAACGACTTGTTTTTTTACAGCAGTTTTAAGTTTCCAATAAAACAGAGGAAGAATCAAGAGACTTCCCATATACCCGCTGCCCCCACACATGCACAGCCTCCCCCACCCTATCAGCCTCACTCACCAGAATATACGTTTTTACCAGGGATGATCCTACATTGATGCATCGTAATCACTCAGAGCCCATGGTTTTTACCTTCCAGTTCACTCTGGGTGTGTATCCATCACTATAATGTATAGAGGAAAATCTTGATCTGCACTGCCTGTTCATTTCTCCATTCCCTCCCACCCACCACCCTCATAAACTTTGTAACCAATTATTTTTTTAAAATTTTTTAATGTTTATTTTTGAGGTGGGGAGGGGCAGAGAGAGAGAGAGAGGGAGACACAGAATCTGAAATGGTCTCCAGACTCCGGGGCTTGAACTTACAAACTGCAAGATCATGACCTGAGCCAAAGTCAGACACTTAACCGACTGAGCCACCCAGGCGCCCCGACCAGTTATCTTTTTATTGTTCCCATAGGTTTGCCTTTTTTCAGAATTTAATATACTTGGAATCACAGAGTATGTAGGCTTTTCAGAATAGCTTCTTTCACTTAGTACCATGCATTTAAGCTTCCTCCAAATCTTTTCATGGTTTAATAACTTTTTATTTTTTAAGCACTGAATTATATTACATTGTCTGGATGTACCATAGTTTTTTAATCCACTCACTTCCTGAAGGGCATCTTGGTTGTTTTCCAAGTTTTGGCAATTATGAATAAATCTTGCTTTTATAAACATCCTTGTATGGGTTATGGTGTGGACAGAAGTTTTCAACTCCTTTGAGCAAATACCAAGGAGCACGATTGCTGGGTCATATGGTAAAGATAGTTTAGTTTTATAAGATACTGCTGAGCTGTCTTCCAAAATGGTGGTACCATTTTGTATTCCCCCCGGCCATATTTGACACTTCTTGTTCTGAATCCTCACTGGGGCTTGTCAGTGTTCTGGATTTTGGCTATTCTAATTGGTACCTCTTGTTTAATTTACATTTCCTTGATGACATACAATGTGGAGCATCTTTTCATGTTTATTTGCCATCTGTATATCTTCTTTGGTGAGGTGTCTGTTAAGGCCTTTGGCCCATTTTTAAAGTCAGATTGTTTTCCCATTGTTGACTTTTAAGGGTTCTTTGGATATTTTGGATACATGTTCTTCATCAGACATGTCTTCTGCGAGTATTTTCTCCCAGTCTGTGGCTCTTCTTCTAACTCTTTTAATATTCTTTGGGAGAGCAGAAGTTTTAATTTTAAATCATTGAGCTTATCAATCATTTATTTCATGCACCATGCCTTTGGAGTATCTAAAAAGATCTCGTTATACTCAAGGTCATCTAGATTTTTTTCCCGTGTTTTGTCTAGAAGTTTTATAGTTCTGCGTTTTATGTTTAGGTCTGTGGTCCATTCCGAGTTAATTTTTGTGAAGGATATAAGGTCTGTGTCTAGATTTATTACTATAATAATATTAATATAATATATGTTTATATATAATATTACTATATTATTACTTGCATGTGGATTATTATTATTATTATTTGCATGTTGAGGAGTCTAACTTTACACTGTGGTATTGCCTTTGCTCTTTTATCAAAGACCACTTGACTATATTTATGGGGGTCTGTTTCTAGGCTATTTTATTCCATTGGTCTGTCTGTTCTTTTGCCAATACCACATTGTCTTAATTACTGCAGTCTTCCAGTAAGCTGAGTAGTGTTTGTCCTCCAACTTTGTTCTCCTTCAATACTGTGTTAGTTACTCTGGGTTTTTTGCCTCTCCAGATAAACTTTAGTCAGTTTGTTGATATCCATGA